GGGCGGGGAAAGGGAGGAGCTGACCTCTGTAAACACTGGGGGTTGCCAGCCTCGCTCAGCCCTCGCTGAGTAAGAGGTGGGAGCGGTTCCCGTCGGAAATGGGAGCCCGAAGAGGTCCGCACGTGGGTCTGGAGCCGTCGGTTCGCTGGGCGCTTCCCTCCGGAGCGCGGCCGGGCGCGGGGCCGCCGGGGCCCCGCACCCCGGTGCTGTGCGGCCAGGGCTGTGCGTGCAACCACCGATGTCCCCGCTCCTTGGGGCAGCACGGGTGCGCTGTGAGAGGGTGGAATGTCTTTCCACGTGGGGACGCGGCCCACCTTCAGTTGGTTCCCCTGTGCCATTCGAGTTTTACTTTAGCAGAAAAAGAGTGTGGCCCGAGTCCCTTTTTTGGTATTCATTAATAAATTTTCTTAGGTCTTTGCTGTCAGTGGAGCCATTCATTGTTATTAATCTCTTAATCAGGTATTGAGGCTTCATTTAAGATATTAAAGCTTACAGATCTCGTCTGTGGAAGTAAATAATTTTTCACGCTTATCATCCGCTAATTAGGGTTCTTCAACCTTTTTTACAAAGTGGGTGCCATCCAGTGGTACAGGTAATTATAAAAAAAAAAAAAAACCACAAAAAAATACAGTGAGATTACAAGGTCTGACATGTTGTGTCACTTCAGTTGTGGACTGGTAGCACGGTGAAGTCGGTATTCCAAATGTCAGTGTTGTGCATTCAGACTGAAGTATTCTGAGCCCCTTACAGTAGAGGTTTGGCCAAGGCTTCCGTGGCTCTTTAACCCGAGTTCTGTGAGACAGAAACGTGGACTCTTGAAAGGACATTACAGTTAGCTATCCCCTGGGCTGCACACAGGGTACAGTCAGTCTGCCTTCTGTGGTACGACAGCTGCACTGAAAAAAACCAATCAAACAAAATAAAACTTCATGCGTTTGGATCTATGAAATCAAGGCCATGGTAGCTCTTTGCAGACCTAGAGGATTAATGTTGATACTTGTTAAACTTACCTATGGTACAGGTGGGAAATCTTTCTCAGTATCTCTTGCTTCTCTCTGTTGAGGTGGAGAATTAGAGGCTTGCTTGATTCTGATGATGTGATCTGTTTATAAAACTGTTTCAGTGTTCTGGCCAAACACAGAACACAGCCTGTCTCTTTTTGATCATATGTTCAACGTTACCAAACACTTGCTATTGACTTGATAATTTTGCAGCTTGGATGAAAGAACAAAAAATTGTTCTGCTTATTTTTGTTGTTTCTTTTTTTTTTTCCTTTTTCTGGAAAGGAATGAGGCTGCAAAACTGACTTCCAAGGTGGATAGAGCTATTTTTGTAGCTACTGTATTTTATTTAACTTGTATTTCTCAAAATCTTGTTATTTTTTTAAGCATGAAGTGCAACTTACTGAACCTGTCTGTCTTGAAAAATGTTAAGCATGCATTCTCAATAAATAGCTACAGGGAATTGGCAAAAGAGAAATGAAAACCCCAGGCTTTTAAACACTTGGTAGCCCTGTGGGAAACCATAGGCTTATGTTCTGGTTTTGGTTTCTTTATGGGAGAAGGAAGAACAGTGTGAATGAGTCCTCGTCCTACATTTCAGCTTCCAAGGTAGCAGACCTTAGAGGTAGACTGTAACTTGAAAACACTTCCATTTTTCTAGTATATGACCTTGGAGCTGTGAAAGGGGTTGGTGGCAGCTTTGAAGAAGTATTGGGGAAGAGTCAGGTTTAGTAACAAGAGAAAAATAACGTTTGTATGGCAGAGCTTCCAAAACTAGGAAGAGAGTGGGAATGACTGCAATTTGTTCATGTTTACCTTCTGCTACAGTTGCTGAACAATTGCAGAGCTGCACTTTAAAATACCTATTTATGTAGAACAGCAGGTAAGCAAGTTGTTTTGTACGGGGGCTGTAAATAGGCCATAATGCTGTGATTGTCAATATACTGTTTAATGGTAGAGAGAGTAAACACCAGAATCCTAGCTTGCTTTTCTACTGCTTCGTGTTCCTCCTGTCAGCCTTGTTGAATGTGGTACCAGCATTCCTTCTGCCAAGTCCTTAATAAAATTGTAAGTCTGACGTTGTGATTCCATTTGGAGCCTTGTAAATGGTGGTAGCTTTCAAGTTACTTCTAGGAAGTGCTTCCTGGAAATGAAAGAAGATGGACTGTGGGAGAGAGAAAGACAGTTTAAAGATGGATGCTTCTGTCTTGGCATCATACTTGAGCTTTTTAGCTTCTTTTTCTGCTGAGTTATGTGGGAATTTTTTTTTTCCTTTTCTTCCAAGGCTCAGACCAAATAGCAGAAATGGTGAAAGAAAAATCGAAGAACTGTTAGGGGTTTCTGCTTCAGCTCTTCCCATAAGTCCTTTTATAGTTGTTGTTTCTGTCCTTAGTCCTGTTTAGGGGTAGCCGAGTTCACTCTGTGTGTCTGCGCCTGCATGGAATTGCATTAGTTCCACTCTGTGGCAGAGTAAGTGCTACGAATCTCTTCACAAAGTCTGAACTTGCAGAGCTGCAAGTTTCTATGTAATTTTTCTCATTCATGAAACATGCATTTTTAGAAGAGATTTGTTAATCTTTCTAAGATTAAATGTGGCAGCATTTCACTTGAATTCTCCTATGTTCTATTTGAATGCTAGAGATCTTCCCCTTTACTTCCATGCTTTGGTCTTCAAGATTAAGAAATCGTATCTTTCATGTTAACTTACTATGTTGTTTTCAGTGTTAGTTGGCAAGACTGATACTTACTAACTCGTGAATTGTGACATTGGTGCTACCTGATCAAATATAACTTGTAGTTCATGGTGTGGATACAATGGTGGTTGTCTGGATTATAAGATGCTAAAGTCCTTTTCAAAATATTGATGTGTTTGTTACCCTGTAATTTATTATCCATTTTGGGTTTTGGTTTGTAATCCTGTTTCATTATTGTTGGGGTTTTTGTTTGTGTTTTCTGTTTTAGCCCTTAAACTTTTGGTTAGATCAGGTTTTCTGTAAGGTAAATACCACAAAAAACTCTCTTAAGAGTAAAGAGTAAAGTAAATACGCAGGATTTAAACCACTGAAACCAAAGTATCTTGGAAATGTAAAATACTTCTATTTAATACTACCATGGTTATAGGATGAAATTCGGTGTTGCAGTTATACTTGTAATTTAAAGAAAAACACAAAAAATTGATTATACCACATATTTTATAGATAACTGCTCGGTGCAGAGGCAATATGATCTGCAGCCTCAGCATGGGTTGTGTGGCTCCCTAGTCATCTTCTTCAGTTAGGAGAAGGTTAGCAGGCTCTGTAGAGTGTGCAGTGCGCGTGGGTCGAGGATTGCCAGCCCATGCTGAACCCGATGACCGGAGTGTAGCATTGGAGGAAGATTTAAGGGATTTTGTAAGGAATTTTGAGCACTCTGAAGGAACTATTGAAGTGAAAGAGGAATCAAAATAAGCAAATAATAATCTTCTGAATTGTTTCCATGAACTAAATAAGCCTGTGTGTAAGCAAGAGATTGACTTGGACTATTCCTCCCACCAAGCCCCTTGGTGATCAATGTTATTTAGTAATAGAAACAACAGGCTTAATGAGCAACTTGGTAGCAGGAGACTTGTATGAATAGGAGAGTGACTAGGTTGTTTTACTGACTTTGCGTTTTATCACTGAGAAAGTTATCTGAACATCTTGCATTTTTGGATCAATTTATTAGTCTGAAGTTGGCATAAATTGAATAGGTTTACTTCTGAATTTTTTTTCCTCTGAAGTGCTCTTAGACAATTACTTTATTATATATATGGTTTTTTTTTTCTTACAGCTCTGATTATTAACAGGAATATAACACTTGTGAACAGAATGTGGCTTACCTTTTGCCTGAAAAGGTGAAATCTTTTCAAATAGAAATGGCTGATAAAGGTGGGAAGATACTTCCAGGACAATTGTACATTGAAGTGGAGTATGACTATGAGTATGAGGCCAAGGACAAGAAAATTGTGATTAAGCAAGGGGAGAAATACATCTTAGTGAAAAAGACTAATGATGATTGGTGGCAAGTCAAAAGAGATGAAAATTCCAAACCCTTTTATGTGCCAGCACAGTACGTGAAGGAAATACCACGAAAAGCACTGATGCCACCTGTTAAGCAAGCAAGCGTGCTACCAAATAATGCTTTGAAGTTGACACATGGATTACAGAGATCAACTGAAAATGTGAATAAGTCACCAGAGCTTTCTAGTTTTGGAAAATCTTCTCCAGTTCAAATGTCTTGCTTAGTTCGAGATGCCAATCAAAACCTGGGACCAAACAATAGCCCTGGTCAAACTCTTGGTTTGAGTCTGGACCTTACCCAAAACAATGGAAAACTGAACAATGAGTTGCAATCTCCCAAGGTTTCAAATCAGTATAGAACCATCTCCATGGGTCATTTCCCATGTCCAGAGTTCTTGGAAATAGAGAAGACCAGCTTTTTGCATGAACAATCTTGTGATTTTTCAGCAGGAGAAGGTTCAGAAAAAATTCACCAAGATTCGGAGTCCGGAGATGAACTCAGTAGTAGCTCCACAGAACAAGTGCAGGTAAGCGAAGAAATGGTCCCTGTCAATTTGTGGTGTTTGTATTTTTTTTTTCCTTATGTTTCCTTATTGCTGTAATTGCTTGGTATTGTTTTGAGTTTTAATAAATTCAGACTGTTTAAGTAAAAATGTATTGTCTCAGTGTGAACTGGTTATTGAAGTCTAACCAGTTGATCTGTATAGCTCTGTTCCTTGCAGAAATACTTGCTTTGGGGATTAATTCCATTTACACTATCCTGTGATTGAACATCACAGAAGTGCTTTTGTTCTTTATTGTTTTGAGATGACACTGAATTTGGTTTATATTTTCTTCTAGAGGAAGGGAGCCTACTGCGATAAATTCTCACTTCTTGGCTTGCTGAAATAATAGTTACTGACAGCTTTTCTTGAACGTGTGTGTAGATAGTGTGAGGACTGTAAATTGATGTATTAGTGGGTTTAATAGTTTAAAAATGGTACACTTCATATTTATATGGAGCTTAATTTACGGCTTGATTATTTTATTTGTAGAATCTTGTTGTAATGAGTCAGCCTTGCCAATTCTGCTTCTCACAACTTTACTCTGGATTAAAACTCAAAACATGTGAGTTTGTTAATTAGTATGGAAGAATCTCAGGAATGATATGCTCCCACTTCAGGCTTGAACTGAGCATTGATGGTCATTTTTTCCTTAGCAAAGTGGTTTCTCGCACTTTTAAATTTTTTTAACAGGCCTCCCCCACCAAAAGATTGCCACTCCATGACTTAGATAATCAGGTCACTTCTGGTACGGGTAGCCAAGTTAAATTAGTTTATTGTAATTCCAGGTTTGTTCTTGAACCAAGGATATATGTGTATATACACATATTTATGTATGTGTGTATATAGGTAATTCCTTCATCTCACCTCCCGTCTTTCTGTAGGGAAATGTTTAATTATTTTAAAATTCTAAGGTTAAAAACTCCCTACTCTTGAACTTTCTTACTCCGTAATGTGGAACTGTTGCTGCTTGGGTATAAACTGATCATTACAGAAAATCCTACCTGCCAGCATGTATTCAGAATACCAAAGGAACTCACTTGAGTGTTGTATTCAAACAAAAGTTGATGCAAACTTTAGAGAGAAAAATCTTATCGTGGAGAGCTGTGAATAAGACAGCTGTGAATAGACTTTCCTAATAAGACACAATTAAAACAAAGCTGTCTAGTTACTGAGTGAGTGTGGGAAGATCTTAAAGATACAAAATCGATTGGGTGACTTATGTAGTCTGTACTGTAGGAGCTCATATATAAATATATATATGCTTATTGAAATATTCTGAATCAGTAGTTTCTCAGTATCCTACTCTACTCTTGGCCTCATTCTTGAAATTCAGTTTCTCTGGTTATGGGACTTCATGTCTCAAATATTTATATCTTTTACGACAATTTGCCCCCCCCAATAATAAAAATAAATAGGATTACTGAATTTAATTTCTTTTTTAGTAATTTCTCACTTAGGCAGTGTGAAGACTGATCAGTTTTCTAGCACTTTCTTTACAGCAGGATCCTAGCTCACAGTGGTTGATATGAGCCACTTAGAACTTGGAAGGATAAAATAGTTATTAGATACGTATTTTAGAAGCATATCTAGATATATAGTAGCGCCTCTACTGCCGTAGTAATCGTTTGCCAAACAAATCATGAAAATACTAAGGAATGTTTAGAAAGTATATCCTACTTTAAATAGTTTACCACACTAAAGTTTATATTGTATGTAAGACAGTTCCTTCTACTGCATTGACTATAGTTTGATGCATCTTCTTCCCTAAAGTAGCTGATCTAAATTAATGTTACATGGGTGTCTTTTGTCAAACAATAAAAAATATATGGCCTGCTGCTCAGTTTCCGCTGGACTTTGTGACTGTTGATGCAGTGACACACAGTCTTTTCACCTTTCTTCCCCCCTCCCACTCACACAAATATAATTGACTCAACTCTGCAAACTATTTGTAAGTTTGAATTTGAGTGGGGCAGCTGTGCACGTATTTGTAGACTTCACGGGGTTATGGAAGATCTGAAAATGGGAGTTTTCACAGTGCTTAGAAGTTACAGATCCTAAAAATGCTGCATTTCTGCTGTGTAAAAAGCATGGCAGATTCTGACTGATGCTAGTGAAGAACTTGTTGTTGTCACGGTCTTGGGCAACAAGAGTACGGATGCTGACTCTGCCTGGCAGTTGTCTTATTTTAGAACTGTGAAGTAACTTAATCTCATCCTGCACAATCACAGGCTCTTTAAATACAATGAAAATATTTGACATTTAGTAGCCATAGGGATTAAAGCAGTAGGTAGCACTGATGTCACCATTAGCTCAGTCCAGATATTCAGAGTGCCAGCCTTCTCACTGGAACAGCCCTGCTTTTTTTTTTTTTTTTGAATTCTCTCAATAATGAGCATTGTTTAGTAGAAATCAGCAGTGCAGAAATTAATGGCTCAGAAAGCTGTTTTTATTGCTCTTAGTCTGTAGTGAGAACATCAAGTTCCCGACTTCCACGCACAAACAGGATTTCACTTCACAAGACTGACTGTGGTTCTCCCTCCCCTGCCTGTTGTGGAGTTCAGTCTATTGCAGTCTGCATTATAATAAACTCTAAGCTGCGAGTGTTTTCTTCTAAATTTGTAAGATTAGAAGCGAGAATTGCTTTTATGATAGATAATACCTTTGTGTAGGTGACTTTTTGGGGAGATTGAGGTGATAGTATTCAGCCCTAGCCCAACCTTCAGTGTCCCGAATACAAATGTATGAGATGCAGAGGAATGCTTCTGTTATGAGATTCTTCTAAGAGGTGGTTATGTTATCCTCTGAAGATTATTGTCCTTCTTTTGAGCCATGAAGTGCTGGTTCTGCAGCTGTACAGTCTCCAGCTCATAGGCTTGCTGGCTGTGGAAATACTGGAAGATCCAGAGTCTCCAAAGTACTGCATAAAGGAAGGATTTTTTAGCAACTGAAATATTATATGAAGTGGAGGATAGAGAGGTGTCAGTGTGAGCAGAAGAATTTGCTAAGGAAGACATAGGCAAATGATCTAGTTGAAAGAAAGATCAGGACTGGGTAATTAATATCCTTGACATTTTATGCAAAGAAATTCCAACTACTGGGTGCAAGTCTACTGCATAAGGCATTGTAAGAATCAGTTTATGGACTTGAACTGTAGATTGGTTTGAGGTAATTAGAGGAAGTAGGGCTTGAGAGGAAACAAGCTCCGATTTAAACAGATTTAAATCTCTGGTGGAGACAGTAACTGCAGGTAGAATTGTAATTGAATGAAATGGTTCAGGAGTGCACGACTGGGCATAAAGATCACTGACACAGTGGTGGCGCTTGAAGCCATGAGAACCAATGAAAATCTATAAAATTTTAGGAAGATGGTGTCAGCTGTGGTGTCCTGATCCCATAGGAAGGGCAGAAAATACTCCTCAAAGAGGCCAGGGATGGGGGGAAAAAGGAAAATTTTTAAATAAGAGAATTCTGTAGCAGAAGACAGACAATACTTGAAAGAAGCAGATGGGAGATGCCGGCACAATGCAGCAGAGCCTAGAGTAATTGTTCAAAAAAAAAAAAAAAAATAAAAAATTGCATGTTTAGGCATGCCTAAACAGGAAAGAAAAAAGTTGAAGCAAAAGTGAAAGACATGAAAAGGAGCTTTGGGCAGTGTTTGCAAGTAAAATCTACTAACAAGTTTTGAGGGAGAAGGCATGCAGACAAGGAGAGAGTTGGGTGAGTTCAGAGATCATGACAAGAATGGTTAGGTGTTATCTTTATGAGGGTGGTACTTTGGAATAAAATTGTTACAGAAATTAAAATTGCTTCCAGCAATGCTAAAACGTAACCTGTGTGAAATAACTTTGTTTCTGATGAGTGTTACCTCCTCTTCCGTCATAGGAGACATAGAATATATTTAAGAGTAAAATACATGCACTGTCTTAATGCTACTGTTTGTGCTTATTAAAAGTTACTTTTAGTAGCAGAATGGTTTTAATCATTATAAATATAGACGGTGACCTATTTGCGAAGATTGTTCTGTCTTTCATCCTCTTTAGTAATTGGCTATTGCATAAACTGAAGCACTAAAGGGGATTATCACTAGGGTGGCTGTTTTGCTTTGATTAATTCTGAGTAGTAAAGATCTTGCAAAAAGATCTTTCTGTCTTACCTCTGCCATTTCTGTGGGATTGTTGTAACTTTTAATTGAGAGTATTTTTTTGTGTGTGTGTTTCTGTAGGAGATGCGAGAGCGCATCTTCTGGAGATCTTGGCATTCTTGACTTCGTCACTTAGTTGAAAGACTGGTGGCAAATCATTAGTGTTAGACTGCCTTGTTGGTCAAACATTAAACCTCTTAAATAAATGGCTATTACTGTTTTGTGGGGCCCAGAATTAATTTGCTTCTATTATAAGAAATTTCATGCTCTTTTTGATTTCATTCATTTGCCGAAGGAGGAAATAAATTGACAGTATGAAGGAAACACACTGCATACAAGAGCATTTTCTTAGTGAAACCGAGCATGTTTGCAGATTCGTGGTGGCACGTATAATGTAATATTTTGAATTACGTTTTAGGTACCATCCTTTTAATCTTTTAACTCCTTAAAATCAGCGTTTGTTATCTAATGATGATAAATGCTGAAATATGCTCATTATAATGAGGTGAAGAATAACTTTCAATGACAGGGAACTAAAAGCTTTATAATTTCATGAATTTTGTAAAACATAAAAACATTTTTTTGTGTGTAATTCCAGTAACTGCTGCTAGAACTTTGTAACCAGCTTGAAATGTTTCCTAAGTTTTATCAGTAACTCTGAATGTTGTTTGTCCAGAACCCTTAAGGAATACTTTTCCTGTTTTTTTTTTTTTTTTTCCCCTACCCAGTGACACATGTCTGGATAGTTTCACTTTAGAGTGGTGCTGTTCCTGATCAGCTCTGTCTCAGTATTTTTAATGTGTAACAACTGTGTAAGTCAGCTAGCAGATACTTGTCCTTC